TGAGATTGATTTAGAGTAGCCAGGATAAACAGTTCCTTGCGATGGATAAATATGAAAATTTGATTTTAAATCTTGAACAATTCTAAAGAAACCACACTTGCTTCCTTCATTTAAAATATTTATTTGTTTTTGCACTGACTTTCCATCTGCAACTAAAATTCCAAAATCAACTTCTGATACTAAATTTAATCGTGGCTTTGGAGAAAATCTAAAAAAATATTGGCTGAGAAGTCAAAAGTCAAAAATTCAAAAAAAAAAAAAAAAAATTTCAATTTAAAAATAAAAAAAATAAAAAAAAGTATTCAAAAAGGTATTAAAGGACATTTAATACAATTATTACATTATACATTTAATACAATTATACATTTAATACAATTAGACTATGTAATATTTACTCAGAATATTTCAATACTATAAATTAAAATTTTTTTTAAATATGCTACACACATTAGCCAATCCCATAATATTTTTTTTGAAAACTAATTTTTATGACTAATGAGTGTGGTAAAGGTCATATTTATATTAAACAATTTTATTTTTATTTTTTCTTGTTAGAAGTATTTGCACAGATTATTCAAAGTTATGCTTTTGTGATTTTGACTAAATTTAGAGTATTTGTGCCAATGGATTCTGATGTCGAACCACACAAATCGAAACCACACAAAAAATGTATACACAATTTTTGTGTGGTTATTTTAGGTGCTCCAAGAAGACCTAACATCACAGAGCACCACAGAAGAGCATGTAATTAGGAAGTTTACGTTTGCTTTATGTAGAAAAAAAGGCTAAAGTAGGCATTGAACCACAGATCTCTTGATTCTGAAGAAAACACTGTAACCAAAACTTATTGTCTGTTTTAAATTTATGTATGTATGTATGTATGTGTGTATATATATATATATATATATATATATATATATATATATATATATATATATATATATATATATATATATATATATATATATATACCCCAAAAGTGTATCGAAAGCCTATTGCAAACCGTGATCAGTTTTTTCTTAAAAAATTTTTTAAATATATATAAATTTTTTTTTTTTTCCTTTTTTAATTTAGCATTTTTTGGCCATTCTTAAAAGTAATGTTTTTGTCAGTGTTTTTTATTAGGTCATTTTAAATTTGCATAAAAGTATTTGCTCTCTTGCGCGTAGATTTTTAATTCAACATAAAGCGCTTTTGAATTTAAATTACTTTAAATCTCTGTTTTGAAGCCAATAATATTTTAAAGTTATTACTTAGTTTGATTAACTGAAATGGATAAAGTACACCACAGTAAATTTACTAATAAACTAAATCAAAACAACCAGTTAAGTTACAATAGTCACTTACAGTTACTCAACTATTAAATTTACTTGATATACTCAAAGACTTGCAAAAGTTAGCCATACAAATGATTCTATTTATATCTTATATTTTGTTAACACATAATATAAGCTTCTAACTAAATATTATTTTAACAAGAAATCTCAAATAGAATATGAAAAATGCAATACCATTTATTATATTTTTATTTTATTTAAAGTGATATCAAGATTAAACATTTTCTATAAACACGCAATTTGTTTTTAGGAATTTTAAAAAAAAAAAATCTATTTGAAAAAAAGAATTTTAGTCATAAAATTCTTTTAAATTCAAATAATTTTGCAATTGAAATTTAGAATTACAAAACGAAAAAAATCGGAAAAATTTGCAGCGCTTTCCATAATACCAAGTGGCATAGCGAGGATCATTCCTGAATGTTAAACGTTTATCTAGCTACAGTAACAATATCAGATTTAAAACAAAGTGCAAGAGAGAAATAAAGTTTTATTTAAATAATAAACATTTTGAAAAGGTAATTTTTTTTTTGTTTCTTGAAAATAGTTTTAAAATTAGAAACATTATATTGCAAACATTAAACCAGTGATTACTAACAATGTTAAACCAAAAATAAAATATAAATATTTAATAAAAGATAAAAAATTTAAATTAAAAAAAATAAATTGTTTAACTTCTGTTCAAAGAAATTTTTTTCTAAAAAAATAGCATATGCTTAAACTTAAGCAAATATAATTCTATTTATTACACTGAAAATTTATATTTATATGTATATATATATATATATATATATATATATATATATATATATATATATATATATATATATATATACACACACAACCCTCAAAATTAGAAAAAATAAAGTCAGCAGTAATTTACCAACCTCAATCTTTTAGAGGTCAGTATCAGGTTGGCATAAAAAATTTGCTAACCTGATGAAAAATTATATTCTATGTATATATATATATATATATATATATATATATATATATATATATATATATATATATATATATATATATATATATATATATATATATATATATATATATATATATATATATATATATATATATAAATATATATATATATATATATATATATATATATATATATATATTATATGTGTATATATATTATTATATAATATTTATAAATATATATTGTATATATATATATATATATATATATATATATATATATATATATATATATATATATATATATATATATATATTAATTTATAAAAATAAAGAAAACAACTTTTTTTGGTACTAATAGTAAAAAAGTTGTTTTCTTTATTTTTATAAATTAATATAATGCTCTATTAAATAATATAAATAAATCCTATTTATTTATTATTGAGCACTCTTATACGTTCAAGAGTTTTTTTGTATTTTATTGCAAATGCAAAATATCATACAATATATTATATTATATATATATATATATATATATATATATATATATGTATATGAATAGGTATAGGTATATGTATATGTATACATATATATATATATATATATATATATATATATATATATATACATATATATATATATATATATATATATATATACATATATATATATATATATATATATATATATATATATATATATATATATATATATATATATATATATATATATATATATATACACTATATTTATGTAAGCATTTGCTCACTTTTTTTGCTTATCTAAATCGATATGGCTTTTTTAGTAAACAAAGAAAAATAAATGAAAAGATTGCTGCCCTATGCCAAACCTTCAGTCGATGTAGCAGCACTCCGCTGCAAATCAGGCTATTTGTCAGTCGATGTATGTACTGAAGCCCGATCAAATCCTATAAAATCCTCAAGTCCTATAAAACCTTAAGTATTTTTTCAGATAAAGATTGTCAAAAAAAGGAGTTTACAGTTAATAAGTAGTTTATACCATCCCAAAAAACTTTATATAGCTAAAATTGAACCTAAAATGTTCATATGGCAGTTGAAAAGTTGGTCATAATAAGATTTGCTATTTTATTGGTTTAGTACAAGAAAAATAAACATATATCAAATTTAAAGCAAATAAGAGATAAATAATATCAATGTTTCTATTAGTTGTGTAAATTTCTATCTTATTCAAATCAAGCTTGAGCAAATCAAGCTGAATCACATATTATTGCACACTTTGTTGTTGCTCTTTGATTGCTCATATGCAACCTAGATCTTTGAAAAATTGAGTTACTAATTCAAATTGTTTGCTACATTTTTAATCCAGAACATATGTCATATTGTCATATATAACATAGAAACAAGGTTGGCAATTTTTATATATATATATATATATATATATATATATATAAAAACTTTATACCATGTATATACATATACATATAAATTTTGAGGGTTTTATGAATATATATATACATATATATATATATATATATATATATATATATATATATATATATATATATATATATATATATATATATATATATATATATATATATTTATATTTATATATATATATATATATATATATATATATTTTATATCATTTTATATATATATATATATATATATTTTTTTTTTTTGCAATATTGAGTATTAAAATTATAAAAAGTTGATAGATCAGTTCTGCAGCTAGAAATCATAATCTTAAATTACTAATTTTACCAGTATTTATAGCTTGTTTTACATGATAAACATTTAAAGTAATAAACTACATTTTTACAGTTACAAGTACTATGACTTTATTTTCTGACTTTATTTTCTAAATAGTGCCATTAGATGCTTCAAGCTTATCCACTTTTTGAAAATAGAGTTTAAAAACTTTGCATGAGTATCTTTGGATGGATTAACTAATGGATTACTTTTAAATATTTTCATTAAATGGAACTTGAAAAAGTTTGATTTAGTTGCAAAAGGTTGACAATTGATTGCTATAGAATATTGTCATTAAAGGTGATACTTTAGAAGAAAAAAAAATTAGGAAATCTAAGTATGTCTGTGTTCGTGTGTGTGTATGTGTGTGTACATATATATAATTATGTGTGATACTTACGATAATAGCATTACATCAATGGATTCATTATCAACTAGAATTTCAAGCTTATCACTACAATCAATATCTTCTTCATTAAAATACTCAATAAGCAATTTGTGATTAAGACCAACAGGAATAGTTGTTTCAGTTATAGTAGATTTCATAGAGAAGTTCTGAAAATAAAAAACAAGCGATAACAAATGGACCTCTAAAACATTCAAATTTATATTATATAAATAAATAAAAAATTGGAATGAATTGCAGTAAATTAAAAAAAATCAGCTTTAAAGCATATTTATTTTTACATAGGATCAAAGATATCTTTAAAAATTTAAATCAGAACATTAACTCTCTACATGATTCAATGCTTTCAAAATAGACAAAGCAATTTGTATTAAAAATTTATACATAATAGTCATCATAAAATGTTACTGATGATGTCATAATGACATAAATCTGTTTTATCACTGTCAATTTTTAGATAATCTTTTTTCTTAATGGTGACAAAAAAAAATTAATATTAATTAAACAATTATAAAAGATTTAGATAAAGAATTATAATAAGATTTAGATTTTATAAAAGATATGCCAAAAGTGGCCAAAAAAAGGATTTTTCCAACAACATCTTTGTCCTATCCCTTCACAAGTTTCCTTAAATTTTTGAAACATTTTTTTTTTAATAAGAAAGCAAGAGCAATGACAATTTTATTAAAGAAAAAAGATCTTATAAAGCTAAGATAGTCCTTGATCTGAGACTACAAAAAATCCAAAACTGAAGTGAAATGAAAAAGGATTGAGAAAAAAACTTACCAATCCTGATATTGATACAATATTACAAAATATTAGGCCAGATACGCCTGTAATAATGGAACTTAAATGATTCAATACTTAACTTAAACTTATTCAAATTCCCATCTACTACATTCCTGGTAGTACCACACTTAACTTTTTTTCTTTAAGCTGAAAGTAATAGACAAACACATTTTAGAAAACTTATCTAATCTTAACTTTGGTTTACATGTGTCTGAGCTATTGCAATTATTATATGTTTTTTATTTTGGTTAGCTAAAATCTGCCTAAAAACTATAACTTTCAAATGTTATTACTGGGAATATCTATACTTATTATATAGGCATATTTACATATATAAATAAATGGGTTCTCTAATGGACCACACAAATTATTGATCAATATCTCTTCTATCTAACATTATCAAAATATTTGAAAAAGCCATGCACATCAGACTTTATAGTAGGAGTGCACCAATGCACCGGCATCAGCCTGCAGATGCATCGACCATTGATCAGTCTTTATAACTATCAGGTGATGTTGACTATTTTGAAATTTTTATTAATTTTTGTGTTCCTATATCATATGCAAAAATATAACTATATTTATACTTATATATATAATTATAAACTATAAACAAAAATGCATGAGCGAGCCTAAGTTATAATATAGACATATCTGCAACCATTAAATCTTTAAATATTTTTTGAACAGTTTTTTTATCAGGAGCTACCTGCATTTAGTGTCTTTTTATATAACAGGAATTATATAATTTATGTATCCAACTTATACAAAGAGATAGGTTTAAATTCAATAAACGTAAATGTAATATAAAATTAAAAAAAAAAAATCTGCAAGATTTTCCTCTGTTTGATATTTTTATTTAGCAAAATTTACAAATTACTTTGAACGCTTATTTTTGTCTAAAATATTCTATTAGACTATTTTTATTTAATCACACACACACACACACACACACACACACACACACACACACACACACACACATGTGTATATATATATATATATATATATATATATATATATATATATATATATATATATATATATATATATATATATATATATATATATATATATATATATATATATATTTAGTCTAACAGTCTAATAGAATATTTTGATATAGACAAAAATAAGTGTTTTATATATATATATATATATATATATATATATATATATATATATATATATATATATATATATATATATATATATATATATATATATATATATATATATATATATATATATATATATATATATATATATATATATATATATATATATATATTACTAACTATATTTAGGAATTAAACTTAGAAATAAAAATAAATAAAAAATAAATCAACAATGAGCAAAGCATCTGTGCTGTAAGCAAATTATAGCAAATAAAGAAGCATAAAAATTGACAGTTAACATAATATTTAAAAATAAATCCTAATTTACCTATTAATAAAAAAAAAGAGTACAAAATTGAATTTATGGCCAATGCATTGGTATCAGCTTGTACTAATTGGCATTCACATAGGTTATAAGTAGGCATCGGTACACCCCTACTTAAAAACTTTCTTGACAAAAATCAATCTCTCTATAAACATCAGTAAGAATTTCGTAACAAACACTCCACAACTCAAAATTGCTAAAACTTTTAGAAAAGCTTTTGACAATCCTTTTTGATAATCCTTGCTTATCATTAAAACTTTGAATTGACTATTTTACTAATTTTATTTTAATCAAATGAGATTTAATTAAATTTGTGCAAATTCCCTAGTGTTGCATATTTACTCACTTTTTCTAGTATACAAACCTAGAGTTTCAATCGATTTATTGACTATCTATATATAAAGATACTTGCTTCTAATTGATAGTAAAAAAGTTTATAGTCTTTTTAGGAATTTATACTCACTTTGGTCTCGGGAGGAATGAGTTTTATGTGTTTTGAATTGCTTCCTATATTTTTAATGCAAATTGTCATATCATAATGCACGTGTGGCTTGGCATTATGAAACTCCACCTTTTCAGGCTTTATTTCAATACCTTTATTAGCCATAAATTCCACTAGAGGCTAATAGTCAATCCAATCTTTTAACAAATGTCAAATTATTTAAATGATATTTATTAATGGTTTGAATGATCAAGTGGATAATCTAATATATATCAAAATAATCTGAAAATGTAGATCCCAATTTTGTTTGTTATGGTCATGGTAACGGCATAACGACCTTAATTTAAGCAAAAAGTTTACGGGGCGTTTATAACGCTTCGATTTTCAAAATCGTAATTTTTCCGTAATTAAGCGTAATTTTTTTTTTTTTTTTTTTTTTTTTTTTGTTCTTTATTACATTTTAAACAACATTCCGTTATAAATATACAAATTAAAAAATAAAACATAGAAGTTACAAGAAAATAACAAAAAAAAAAATCGCAAATAAGAAACAAAAGAACGCGGGGACTCATAGAAGACCGTAAGGTCTTATCGTCGAGAACCGCTAAAATGAACGTGATACAAACAAATTAAAAATATTCAGAAAACCCGTTATAAATATAAAGATCAGTTATATAAATACTATATAAGTTAATAAACATATAAATTGTCGTATATATTGATACATATTCTTGGTAAATATATAAATTATAAAATAATAATAGTTCTTTGATGAGTGGAGGTAAAATGGGAAAACTATTAAAAATTATTAAAAGTAAATTGATAGATCGTCAATTGTAAAAATTAATTCTTTTAACTTTCGTTTAAAAGAGTTGTAGTTACATTGTTGGATAAAATCTCGAGAAAAGTTTTTTAAGACAATTTTGTGCCATAAGAATGGTCCGCGAGAAGTAATGCAGAATTTGCTCAAGATCTAAGTAATGCAGAACTTGCTCAAGATGCAGAATTTACTCAAGATCAACATCTTGAATACCAAACTGTTGTTAATATTTTTAGAACTGATCTAAGCTATCTGTGTTGTTGTGCTAAAGCTATTTTGTGTTAGTCAGTGCAATTGCAACGGATATGCATTTGGGCAAATTACATTTTTAATTTGTTGGTGTAAAAAAATTAGATTTACATTTGGATCAAACTCATTTTGCCTTTATCAGCCTAACGAAGATATGCAGTTAGTATTGCATTGGCATACAAGTAGCAAACATGTTGGTTGATAAAAAAATTTCAACACAAGTATTCTTGTAAATTATTTAGAATATAAGACTATAAATAATAAATAATATTACCGTTTTTCATTATCCTATTTTCAGTTAGCAATGCGGCCGTGGCGCATAGTGGTTACAGTGCTTGCTTTATATGCAGGAGATCCAGGTTCGAAACGAGTTCTGGACATATTTTTGCGTCACGGTAAGGAAGGAGGCGTGAACTTCCTGATTAAATGCACATCCGTGACAAGACCGTTAGGTCTTCTTGGGGCACCTAAATAACAAAAAATAGATGTGTTTAAGTGTATATTTTATAATATGTATATATGTGTATTTTATAATATTTTATAATATGTATATATGTGATATTTTATAATATGTATATATGTGTATAAGTGTAAAAACTAATGTTGAAAGGTTCACTGCACAATATAAACGATAATCTAATTAAGATTTTTGTTTATAAAGTGATTTTTGAGGCGTGCAGGCACCACGTCTTTTTAAACTAAATAAGTTACGTTCTTTATTCTTGGTTTGACTATAGAAGCCAAGAATCTTAGTTATAGGATAGATTTTAGAGGACGTACATGAGACATAATATGTCTCATGTAATATGTCTTTTGTATATATACATTATATATATATATATATAAGATCAGTCATAAAAGGAAGGAGATAAAGCACCGTACTATTTTGGTTATTTCATTGAAGCAAAAGAAGATTTACCCAAATCTATGCTCTAGATTATTTCTATGAAAGAGTAACGAGTAAGAACCGTCATAAAAGGACAAGGGTAAAAAGCGTTTGAAAAAATTAATAATTTAATTTAAAAATCTACTAAAACTTACCACATAAAAATCTGAAACTCGTGAACAGTGGCGGATTGAGGTTTAGCGTTGTGAAGGGGCCATGGAAATGTTTAGGGGGCGACAAAGGTTGGAGGTGGCACATTACCCTTAAAAATGGTTTTTCGAGAATCGCACTTGTGATAAATATATTTTATCAATGCTTTTATGTGCTTTTTACCAAAACTATATAAGTACGTCTAATACACTAAACAATCTAAAGTTTTGAGTTTGCTAAGTTTACTTTGGTTAACAATTATCGTTAAAAAAAAATTTAAAGATATATTTGCAAAATATATATTACTGAAAGCAAGAATTAAGAAAGAAATTTAGCCTCCTGCTAGTTTATACAAATATTTTTCTGCTGTTGATTTTGTAGAGTATAGACAAGTTTGGAAAACATGATGTCATCTATTTCTCTATTAAGAATGGACATGGGTTGTTCATTTAAAGTTTAGTTGTCACTGCTGGAGATATTGATGCATACACACCTTTGAAAGAGGGCCAGCGCGAGTAGGTTTCAAGTAGGAAGGATTGCCATACGGGTTTTTGTCAAAAACATTTTAAGCATATTAAAACAAATCTAATTTGCTCCACATTGTTAAAATCAATTAATTTAAAACTTTTTGCTTCTCTCCTTTTCACAGTTGTTTTAAAACACCAAGTCACAGTTGTTTTGATGCACCAAACTATGTTAAAAATTCATTGAAAGTGTACATTAAGATTATGAGATATTTTTTTAGAACAAAACTTTTCTGGGTTTTTTTCCCCAACAATTGCGGGCAAATTTGTAGATGGTTTATTTTTACCTAGTTTTCTATTTCCATTTAAATAAATGCATATTTTAGGGGGCACCAGTTGACTGACTTACGGAGCGCGGGGGAAAGGGGCAGCTTGCCCCCTCCTTGCCCCACTCCCTATGCTGAATTCGCCACTGCTCCTGAAGATCAAATTGAAAAAATAAATATAACAATCAAAACTAAAACGCAAAATAAACAATTGAAAGTAATACTATATTTATAAGATAAATATAGTGAAGTTAATAATAACAGATTTAAAATAAGCGAAGAAATTAACAAAAATATTAATAAAAAAGTAATAGAGATAAAGAAATAAAATAATTACTGAGAAAGCGGAGAAAATGGATAAATGGACGGAAACAAAAAATATGAAGAATAAAAAGGAAAAACGGAGGTCTGGGAGTTCTTAATCCACAAAAAGTGAAGCTTTAGGAATAAAGTAAATTCTAAGCTTTAAGACAAAAGTAAAGATAAAATAAAATTGATTTCAAAAAGGATTAAGGGTTCGTGCAAACGACGCAATACACACACACACACACACACACACACACACACACACACACACACACACACACACACACACACACACATATATATATATATATACGCAACGTGATTATTCATCTTTTTAACGTGATTAGTCATCTTTTAAACATGGTTAGTCATCTTTTTAACGTGATTAGTCATCTCTTGTCAGCTCACATTCATTTAAAAAATTTTTAGTATGCGATAGTATATTTTAAATAAATCTATAAAAATGTTAGATAGTATCTAACAGTTTTATAGATTTACTTTTCCATGGTGATGTTTAATTGTGATTGAGTCATTGCAGACTGGAAAATGATAATTCCGCTTTGCTATCATAATTTTTTTTTTAACTGTTTAGGAAAAGGGGGAGGGGTTAAATGCAGTGTCTCCCCCCTTCCTCCAGCGCTTTAGTCAGAGGGGCTATCACCCCTACGCCCCCCTGTTATATATATATATATATATATATATATATATATATATATATATATATATATATATATATATATATATATATATACAACAGGGGGGTGTTGTGGATAAAATGTGAACGAAAGTGCATGCAAATATCTAACTTATGTAAACTTCTAATTAAGTAATATTAAAACATCAAGTTTTACAGTTTTACGTTTACTTAAAAACTGCATCGTGCAACATCTCCCAAATTTTGAATTAAAGAATTTATTTACCTTTTTATAAGACCGGATGAATAAAAATGAGCAATTGCTTATACTCAGTAAAAAGTTTTTCTCTAATTTTTATTCACATAAAGTTAAGCAATTAACTCAGTAATTGTCTAGCTTTACGTGAATAAAAACTTAAACAAAATACTTTAAGTTTTTATTCACGTAAAGCTGACCAATTACTGAGTAAAAGGACTTTCTTTTCCCGGCCTATAAAGTCTTTTGTCTATTTAACAGCGATAAAACTTTTCGCATTCAATACACCTTTAAGGTGTATTGAATGCGAAAAATTATAACTAAGTTAGTGGCCGAAGTGGTTAGCTAATAGAATTTCTGATGTAAGGCTCTGTGGTTCAAATCCAACCACATGCAACTTTTTTATTTTTTAATCTTTTTCGATTTTTCTAAAATACAAATAAAGCGCTTTTGAAGTTTTACAGACATTATACATAACACATATAAAGATATTATACACAATAACAAACAAAAGGGAGAGAATTTTAAAAAAGGTTACTGCCGTTTTATTAAGTCTTTTGTTCATTAAAAAGTTTTGATATTTTTGTCTATGTGGCTGAAGTTGATAGGTCGCAGAATTTCTGAAGTGTATTGCAGTGGTGCAAATCATACCATTGGCACCTTTTTTTCTTTTTTAAACTTTTTCGATTTTTTAAAATACAAAATAAAGCACTTTTGAAGTTCTATTATATTATATACATAACAAATATAAAGTTATTATATACTATAATAAAAAAATGGTTCTAATTACCCTCTACAAGAAGGTAATTTTAAAAAAATTGTTATTTTACTTTATAGGATTATAATTCGTAATTAGATTTCAAACCAAAATATATTTTGCCGCTTAAAAGATACGTCTGTACAAAGTTTAGAACTCCTTATTTTAGATTGTTTGACAGTTTTAAAAAAAGAACAAAAGAAAATGTTTTTAACTAAATAAACGCATGTCATCTTACTTTAATCTAAGTTAATTTTGAATTTAATTTTAATTACATTATCTTAATTTTTTAAATTCATTATTTTAATTTAAACAGAAAGAAAGACATAATTTAAAACTCTTTGTAAAAGAATACAATGTGTTGTGAATTCGGACCCCAGCCGTCTTGCTCTAATTTTTTGATTTTTTTTAAAAGGTTTTAATCTTTTAAAAAACTTCATAAAATAAAAAAAGTATACCTTACGTAATCAAAAAATATTTAAAAAGAAACGATTGATAGATCGATAAATAGTATGTACAGTTTATTTTGCTCTCAACTAAACTCAACTTTTAATTTAATTTGGTTTTCAGATATGATCAAATCGTTGTTGAAAATTTCTAATGGGCAGGTAAGTAAGTAAGCAAAGACATTGTAGTTTTTTTTCATATCTAGGGTATAAAGCACTTGCTTCAGAAAAAAATATTTAATTTTAGACATGTTTTAATACAACTTATAAAGATATATAAAAATCGAAAGTTATTATGATTAGTAGTAGAACATGGAGAATATGAAGTTTTCCTCATGAAGAACGTTTTTTAAAGTAAAAAAGAACATCAAGAACGTTATCATTATATCTTTGATTCTAAAATTAAGGGCGATAGATATTTTTAAAAAAATATAGCGTTAACAAAAAAGACGGTGGATTCTGAACAGATGTTAAACCTCGATTAAATTGTATTGTATTTCAAATACTGACTTATCCAATAATGTCATCTAAAAAATTTTTTAATGATAATTTTTTTTTTAATTAGAATAAAAAATATTATTTGTAAAACGTTTAAATGCGGAAAAAAGAAAAACGTTACAAAAAAGTTCTAGCTCTAACTAAAAAGATTAATGAAGGTTGACAACCAAAAAATAGTACCTAGCCTGAATTAAATATTGAACTCAGTACAAGGAGCGCAATTGCGACTAAAACTGATTAAGTAATATAAAGACATTAAATTTTTATTGGTATATAGATAAAATTTATTGTTAACAACTTTTATTGAATGATGAAAATGAAAACAACAAGTTTGCATGAAAATGTTTACCATTGAAAATTAAAAGTAAAAAATAAATCTAATCAATAAAATGGCCCTAAATTAAAATAAATTTACAAGTTTTTGTCAGGCACTATTAAAAAAGTATTTCTTTTTTAATTTAATTTATTTATAAATAGAGTTTTTAATAACTTAGTCAATAGTTTGTAGGTCTAATGACGTCCACTGAGGTTTATTGAATCCAATGAGATATGGTTTTAAAATATATACTGATCAATTATCTTGTTTTTATGGTATTATAAAAATATAAAATTTTACACATCAGCATACATTTAAAAAAACCATTGCTTATTTAAGCCATTTGCAAATCTGCAAACATTTATGTTTTTTTTCTCAGAGTGAAATTTTCTTTAAGTAACGGATTTTTAACTACGCGCGTTTTAGTACTGTAAACGCGCTTTTTAGTACTGCATTGAAAATTGATTTAATCTTTTTGATTTTGAAAATAAGTATTTTTTTTTTAACTGAAATCATTACTAGTCATTTTAAGTCAGTTTTTCCATCCTGTGTCAAAAATTTTATTTAGTATTTGATGTACTCTTATACAGTAGTCCCTAGTCCCTCTAGTTTGTAAGGCTTAAGTCATTCTCTTCTAAAAATGTAAATTGTATTTTTGCAAAGCTCTAACCAGTTTAATCATAAAGTGGAACAAATTATATAAAACGTTCAAATTGTATGCTTTCTAATAGTTATTAAACTGTTATGTTATTAAAATGTTTACTTATCTAAATGTAAATCATTTGGTGTTGAGTCTATTTCTGACACAGAATAATATTTTGCATCTTTCGTACTTGTATAATCTGCCTCATTAATCGATTATTTATAATTAAAATAAATTCATTACAAGTTTTTGATGTTAATAAGATAGTAAGATTAGAAAATTGCTTTTTCAAATAAGAAAAATTTTTACAAAAACTATTAATTTTTTTGTTTCCAATTCCTAATACATGCAATGATTTATGTTTGTTGTTAAGGTAAAAATAATAGCACAATACTATTTTTATTATCATTATTTTATAATAAATACATTTTAATATATGGAAATTAATTGTTATAGAAACTAAATATCTACATACTTTTGATGACTTACAAAAACAAGTTAATTAGTTGTTGATTGTTGTTATGTCAAAGACAATAAAATAAAAAAGTTGAATCTGTGGTAAAATTGTTGAATTAAATTCGAACAGTCAAACATTTGAATGAACAGAAGGAATTGGTCTTTCTTATAAGAATTATTTATATATAAATAATGTTTCGAAAAACATTATTTATAAGAAAGACCAATTCTTATAAACAATGTGTTATACTAATGTGACCCACAGTCTTTATTGCCGGTACAACAATATTTTGATGCAAGATAAAATACTGACATTAAATGACATTAAAAAAAATAATGGTTTTAAATTTTTTTTAAAATAATACTTTTGTTGTTTTTTATTCATTTTAGTTTTGATTTGATACCATAGCCTATGACACGGGTTTCAAAAAGGAGGAGCAATATAGAGGAATTTTTTTAGAAATTGTCAATCTTTGAAAAAATTCCTCTATATCTAGAAATTTATATAAAAAAAATCCTTTAGGAAAAAAGTGGGGAGGCCAGTGACATCTGCCCTCCCTCCCTCCGGTATCGTCGGCTCTGAATATCCAGAGCAGAGATCAACTTTCATAATTTCAAATTTAAATAGGGTATCTGGATATCCTTTTTAAATTTGAAATTATGAAAGTTGACGATTTTTTTATAATGAATAAAAAAATACAACACCATAAAGTTGTTAAACTTCGTTGCTTTGGATCCGGAGATGATGAAAACTTTAAAAAAATATTAAAAATTTAAAAGCCCCTACAAAAGTTAATGATGAAACATAGTATTTCTTTTCATATCTTGTTCAAACATTTATCTAAATTCTATGAAACAAAAAAAATTAGCTTTGGAGTTTATTCAGAGCAATCAGGAAGAAGAGTTCACTACCTCTTCAATACAGTTTTGTTAAGCCGCTACAAAATGTTTGCTTATTATTCTAAACATAGAAATAATCTAGTTAATTTATTAAGTTATTAATAATGGAAAATATCTTGATTCTTTTGGTAATGTTAACAAAGTGTTTATATTTTTGTAAGTTACAACTTAACTTCCCGATATATATTCAAAAAAATGCATTTAATTTACAAGATAATAATAAAAAATAACAAAAATTTTAATTTACAAGATAATAATTAAAAAAAATAACAAAAATTTTAAATTTTTCAGCTTTCGATTGACTAATGATTCGGTTCAGTTATTCATTTAATAAATAACCGAACCCTCGTTAAATAGTCTTTAAGAGGATTTAGATGCAATAAAATTTTGAAAGATTTTCCTGGCGCCGTTAATTTTAAAATGCTTTTTTCTTAACTTTTTTTCATAGTTCTCTAAATTAACCAAGTCTAACATATAGTTTATAGTTAAGTTAAGTTATTTTAGATTAGATTAAGCTATCCTTTCCAAATTCTAAAGGATTCAATATACTATTTTAAAAATGTAGTAACGGCTGTTCGTTAAAATAATGCATATTTCGATGAAATCATTGTTTAACGTTAAGATGATTGATAATGCCATTCAATACATCCTCCACTCTGTTATTTTGTGCCTCGATAGCCTTCATCCTTCTACGCAAACTAAGAAGAGTTTCTTTGTGTTCCTTTTTGATATTTTTAATAGTATTCTAAAAACAAAAGTTAAATCAATAAATCAATGAAAAAAGTACACACAAACACACACACACACACTAACCACTGCTCTTTTTTGAGGTTTTCAGTTGAAATTATTTTTACTACAGATTACAAATAGGTTGCCATAAAATAGAAACTGTTGAAAACAATTTTAAAACCACTTTTATTTATTGACACTTTAACCAACACTTTTCGTTGTTTTTTTTCAGTTTAAGTCTTTATAAAACTATATCTTTTGAGCATTAAAATATATTTTAGTAAAATTTGTTTAGAAAAATTGTAATTTCAAATTATTTGGTCCTATTTAAGGTGAAACTTTAAACCAGGGTGTTATTGGAGGCGTATTTTAAGGTTTCTTTTGTTCATGCATTCTAGTAAAAAATTAGGATATACCAAGTTTCATCCTGAAATAGCCTTTACTAAGTAAATCAAACATAGGCTAACCTAATATTAACTTAAAAACAATATTGGATAATAAAATGAATTAATACAATTGAGATAAAGTGCCATTTTATCCAAAGAATCTAAAACATTAACACAGCTGGCTTCATCAAAGATTTTTCAAAAATAAGATATACACTGCATCTTAAGTCAAGATTAGAAAAAAATCACTTTCATTATTTTTAAAACTACACAATCTGTAAGATCAGTATTTATCTTCAAGTTTATGATGATTTTTTAGATTTTTTACCTGTTTTACAAGTAAAAAATCTAAAAAATTAGTTTCATATATAAATGAAATCAATACTTATTCGGAACAGTGTAGTTAAAGTGCACCTAGGAATATTATCCCGGGAAGGTCTGAGACAGAGGCCTAATCTGCTATTTAACAGTAGAGAAATTCTCGAAAGGAGAATCCTCGTGGCTTCATTCATTTTTTTACTTTTTTAGGTGATCGGTTTTCTTTCACTAAAAGTAAGAGGATTTCCTCCTGTTGCATGTTTAACACTTGTACTGTCTTATATCTATAGTCTTAAAAAACAACTATGTCAGCAACATTTGAATTATTTAAAGTAATTAAGGCATGGAGATTTTAAACAGTTTATTTTTTGTAGCAAAGATGACGAATACAATTATTTGACAGTATTCTGAGAAGAAATATTTTTTTTAGAAATCTTTTCAGTTCTTTGTAGGCAAAAAAAAAAAAAGGTGGTTTGTAGGTGTAAAAAATTATGTTTATAACTTTTAGTATCCTGCTCAGTTTTTACTCAGATTTAGTACCCTCAGGCAGCAAATACCACTCAAATACCACTCAAATACCACTCAAAATACCACTCAAATACCACTCAAAATACCACTCAAATACCACTCAAAATACCACTCAAATACCACTCAAATACCACTCAAATACCACTCAAATACCACTCAAATACCACTCAAATACCACTTAAAATACCACTCAAATACCACTCAAATACCACTCAAATACCACTCAAATACCACTCAAATACCACTCAAATACCACTCAAATAACACTTAAATACCACTCAAATACCACTCAAACAGTTGTCGCTACTTTAATTTATTTTTCTAACTTAATGACAACCATTCAACAAGGAAATCAAACTGCTTTACTTATAGTCTTTACTTTAGCTTTACTTTAGCTTAGCTTTAATTATAGTCTTTCTACTTAAAATATGATTTTGTGTTGCAATCTGATGAGAATTTGTGTTCAAACAAACGAATGCAAGATCAATCAGTTGAATTAATAAACTATTCTTCTCTAAATATAAACAACTTTTGTTTTTATTGACACATATTGAAACAGATTTTATTTTCTAAATAGTCTTGTTCTCTTGGTTAAAAAAAACTCATTTGGTTAAAAAAACCTTTTTGTCTTTTCTTTTTTAGATCTTATTAGTTCTTTATTAGTTCTTTATTAGTTTTATAAATCAATATTCTGACAATTTTGACTTTGAACAAATTATAAGTCAACTGACGGATTTTCTTAAAACTAATTTTTTTGAACTTTAACGTTTTTTTGCCAATTTTGCAATCAGCTTCTTAATATAAAACCTTTGCAATCAGCTTCTAAATATAAAACTTTTGATTTGACTTTCATACCACTTGGTTTTAAAACTGTAATATTCTAAAAATAAAAAGAATCCTCCTAAAATGAATTAAAAAAAAAAAAAGCTTGACGTTAAATGGAGTCAGTAATAGCTAGATTTCAAATTTCATCTAAATATATATTATTGTTCAAAAGATAACGCCATAAAATTAGCTTAAAAAGTGTTTATCTTTTGAACGAAATCAAAAATAAATCATTTAATTTAAGTTTATATAAATAAAATTCAATGATTGATTTAATTGAGGTGATTCAAGATAATTTTTTTCTACACTCAATTATCTTAGAGAATAACAACTATTTGATGAATACACAATATTTTTTTTAGTTTTAATGTTTTTGTGTTTAATATTCTTTGTTCTTCAATGACATTAAAAATATGAATTGTCAAGCCCAAGTAAAGTGAGGTAAAAATTCAAGAGTGATAGAATAATAAGGTAGTTCACATCAATATAAAAACACTATAATAAGCTTTAGTAACTATATTAACACGTTTAACGAAAGAAAGAAATATTTTTTTATATAAGAAATGTGCGCTTGCGCACGCAAAAAAAAAAAAAAAAAAAAAAAACGCTGAACAAATAAACTAGACCAAACTAACATATGTGCTAAAATCTAATAAACGAAAACGTAATTGCTATTGAATACTAAATAATTGCTAAATGATATTTCAACTGCAAAAATAACAGCAGTTATTTGAAGGTATAAACAATTCTAAATGCAGCAAATGAAAATATAATAATAACAACCACTTATTATAGAATTATATTGAATAGAAAATATTATATAGAAAACATCAGCAAACAAAAATATTAAGCCATATAATCTTTCAATAATAAAAGTAATGGTGAGAGTTTAAAAATTTAAGAATTTTTAACTTTAAGGATAATGCATATAAAAAAAGAGGTAGCAAGAGTTAAAGCTTACAGATCATGAGCTCAATTCTTTATCCTTCAAATACTTCACAGTCAAAAAATCGACTTCTAATTGAATATTGTTTAAAATCAATTCTTATAAAAAACCTTAGAATAATTCTTTGTGCCTCTAAATCTACTAGCAGAGCAGCAGTAATAGTTTTAGAAGACAAAACTTTCGCAGTTTTTAGGAAAGAAATATGCTAAGATACTTTTCCAATGTCAATAAAACAAATTTTGATCCAACCATTAAGTGAGTTCTTTTATAGAAAGGCTCAAAACAGTTTATAGAATTTATTCATTAAAATCTAAAAAAAAATATTACTCTCTGCTTTTGCTTTAGGTATGATGGGTAAAACCTTATGGGTCTATGTTATTAAAATATCTCTGGTTATTTTAAAGGAAAAGTTTACTGGGTTAGAAGTTTTTGGATATACTTCTAAAAATGTAAATTTTAAAATGGCAATTTCAAATCGAATCTGAATGGCAAATCAAAATTTAAAAAAAAAATTATATTTAGAGAATTGACAACAAATTGAAAAATAATGCACCTGTTTTTACATTTATAGGTTATTACCTTTAATTATCAATTAACATTATTGCTCATTAATTAAAGGATGTAAGGATTATGGAATTCACAGTTTCTTTTCCTCAAAATTGCAATCACATTCTCTATTCAGAATAAGTGTTTCCAGAAAATGACAGAGAAGGTTTTTTCTAACACCCTTTAAGAAAACATAACAAAACCCATTTTAAAAAAATCAAAAATCAAAAAAACAGCTTTCTTACTTTAGTTATTGTGGTCTCACTTTTAACAAATTAAATCCTAACAAAGCTGCAAACAATTTATTTAAGAAAACAAAGAGGAGAGTTAAGAAGCAAGAAAACAAGAAAAGAGAGAATTACTGAATAATTGCTTTATTTTTACATTCACTTTTTTGAAGGAAAAAAAAAGATATGTAACTTTCTTCATTATTTAACATTTTAATACTAAATAAATAAATTTTATTTTTAAATATTATAAACAAATTTTATTTTTAAGGTAAATAAAAATGATAAATTCAAGAAAGAGCTAAATAGCTTTTTCTTGAATTATCATCATTTACAGTCATAACATCAAGGCAAAACCGTTTTTTTATTTAGGCTCATATTTTAACAATCAATTTAAAAAATTCAACCCTGAAATTTACCAACTTAAATAATTTTAATATTAAAACAGTAAATATAAACCACACAAACCTTTTTTTTTATGTTAGTAGCTGGAGATTCAAATGACCAAAAAGACCAAAAACTCCATGACTTATGTACATTAGGAAAAATTGATTCTTCCATTTTGACTAGTCGCTTTTGAACTGCAATGGGTAATGCTTTTTCAACATCTAGTGTTAAGTCCACCTTAAAAACAATTTTATGTTTCAATAAGTATCAGTAAAATAAATAAATATCTATAAAAACCAATAAATATCAATAATAAAAAAAAAAGTACACCACGTTAACTGACAATAAAACGTTAAAGACAATAACTGAATAGTATTTTGTCATGCATTAAATGGCGTGGCACACATTAAGCATCATTGTTACAATACTTTATGTTATAGGATGTTTATTTTATTATTAATTGGTTATCTTTATAGCCAACCTATGAAATAAATCTAAACGATAATAAACTCAGAAAAAGAAACCATTTATCAGAATTAATCATCGTTTTTATTAAATGTCATTTATTTACCTTTTTCAATTAATTGGTAAGTGTTTAATTAAATTGAACCTAAATTTCTGTAAACATTAAAATGCATTTATAACTGTGTTGCATCCCATAATAGTAAATAAAATAATAGCTTTTCAGATTTTAAATGGAAATTTTTACTGAGTTAATGTGTGTCAGTGCTGTTGGCAGCAACTTGTTCAACAAAATAGCTCATCCGAATCCCTGAACTTTTCAAAAAGCATGGAAAACCAAAGTAGGCATTGATAAAGGAAGTGAGACTTTATGGTGGCCAATCTAAAACATTTATTTTATTTTCCTTAAGCCAAGACTTTACAAACCTCACAGTATGCTTTGGATCATTGTTGTAAAGCACAACAATGATCCAAAGCATACTGCAAGGTCTGTAAAATATGTTGGTATTATTTATGCTCAATTTTCGAATTTTAACAATACAAATATTTTTAGCTATTTTAAATTCACAAGATGACAGTATCAGTATACTATTGAACACCAAAATTCTCAACATCATTCAAATGTTTAGACAATTTTATTTACACAAATCATTTTCCTTAAAAATATGAATTTTCAATACATTATAACCAAGCAATCACTAATATTTTAATAAAGATTCTATTTTATTATACCAATAAGTATTTTTAAAGGTTTTCTTTCAAGAGCATATAAAGTATTTTAAGAACAGAATATTCAAAATGAATTATTTGTTGATGTGTTTTCTGATAATGAACACTCATATAAACAGTTTTCAGTGTTGAAATTACAAAGAAAAACAGACAATCAACAAATCCCAAATACCCAAAAAATATTATACTATCATGGACACAGATACTAAGCTTTATATATAAAAGAAACTTTATTCAAGCTTTTAAACTTTTTCTGGCCTGGTTTATGAGCCACCTCTTTAAAGTTTACATATTTCAAAAAGTTTTAAAAAAAAACGTTTTTTTCTTAGGTAACTTTTTAGTTAACACTTTATGCAGTAATAAATCCATATTGGAACCAAATATTATTCAGGCATTTGTCAGTTAGAACATTTGGTGAAACAAAAAAGAAAATCAAGTGTTAATGAAAATAAAAATACTTAAATCATGTCAATAGTTACCATTTCTTTTAAAATTAAATAAGTCTGAATCTATAATGTTACATTGACATCATTTTTGTTTATATTTTAAGTTATTGTAAACTTTTTTATGAAATTAATGAAGTAAATTAAATTTAAGTTTTGCTAGAAAAAGTTAAATCACAAACTGGTTATAAAAAAATTTAAAACTGGTTAAACTAGTTAAAATTACAAATCACAATCATACTGGTTGAGCTTTGACCAGTAAATAGGTAAAATTGTTTTACCGATTTACAGATAAAATTATGTCAGTAAATTTTGGTAAATAATGATTGAATGTGAAAAAGATTATGATTTTACAGAAAATCACAAAAAAGGAATCCAGTCAGTTGAAAGGTTTTAAACTGATGTGAGAAATGACCGTAAAATCAGTTTTAAATATTTAGTAAATATTTTAAAATGTTTTTCAATTACACTGGATGACAAAACTTCTTTGAAAAACAAAAGGTTCGTAAACATTATTATTTATCAAAAAGACATACTTGAATCTGGGCTTAAGACAATTTATGGATCTCTGCTGGTTGAAAAAAGCTGCAGCAGTTGTCACAAAAAATCTAACGAAGTGTTCAAATGTGGATTGAACATTTGGAAAGCATTGTCTGCTCAGTTACAGATGGAACTTCCACGATGGTTAAGTTTTTCAAAAAATCAATAATAAAACCTTGTAAGTAACAAATGACAAAGATAAAGTTAGCAATGGTAAATCTGAACCTGACACCGGTCTTGGTAACTATCAGCCAATGCCAATTATTTTGGAAACATCAGTATTTTACTTTTGTGTTTCTATATTGTATGCAAAAATATAATTATTCTATAAACAAAAATGCATGTATAAGCCTTAGTTGTTATATAAGCATGCAACCACTAAACCTTTAAATACTTTTAAACAGATTTTTACCAAGGACTCCTTACATTTTTAGTATCTTTTTATAGTTTAAAAAAGCAATCCCAGGAACAAAAATTCTATAGAATTTCTATAAAGTTTTGAAACATATGGCCTATAGAAATTCTATAGAATTGTATACAACTTTTATAAAATCTCTGCAAATTTCTAAGAAACTTAAAAAGAACTTTTTTTTCTATTGAAAAAAAAGTTTTATAGCAATTTCTATAGAAATTAATAGATATTCTATAGAAATTCTATAGAATTTCTATAGGAATTTTAAATATTTCTATATAGAATAGAAATTCTAAAGAATTTCTATAGACTAAATGTTTAAAATATTCTATATAGAATAGAAATTCTAAAGAACTTCTATAGGCTAAATGTTTAAAAAGTTTATTTCTAGATATTCTATAGAACTTTTTTTCCTGGGATTATATGACTTATAAATCCCAACTATACAAAGTTACAAACAAGTAAATGTAAAACATTAAATGTAAAAATTTTCTGCAAGATGTTCCTCCTTTTGATATTTTTATTTTGCAAAATTTACAAATTGCCTAAAAAGTTTTATTTTCATTTATATCAAAATAGTCTATTATTCTATCTTAATTAATCTTATTTCTAAGTTTAATTCCTAGATTTTGAATAGATTTTGATTACATATATAAATATATATACATATATATTTCTAGATTTAAGTTATGTTTAATTTTAGCAAGTTTTTTTTTTTTTTTAATATAAATGAAAATAATATGCAATTATCTACAATTTTTCTATAAAACATACCAACATTGCTAATCTGTTAAGAACAGCTTGTTTTTGTACTCCTTTAATATTGTCAACAGCTAATCCAATCTGAAGATTATATTTAGTTAGATTATTATAATTTAATTTAAAATTTTATTATATAAATGGAAAAATTAATCTTTTTTCAAGAACTCAAATGATGGAAATAAAAAACAAAATAATTAAGTTTATTAACGTAGTAAAAAACTTAAATAGACTTTAATAAAATTTAAATCTATTAATGCAGTTAAAAGTAAAAAACAACAAGCTTTAATACTTGAAGCAAAATTTACCAACAAATTCATCAACAGAATGCAATTAATTATGATAAACATTATCATCATTGCCCATGTAACAGGTGATGGAAAATATGGACCACCTTCACTATTAAATATTGTATCATACTCATACTCTCCCATCATCCCAATTATCACTTTAGCCAATGATCTTGCAGGTGTAGTGTATGAAATAGGTTTCTAAAATTAATAATATTTTTTTTTAAAAAGTTTTTAAATTACAATAAAAACTTTGTTTTTACAAAAAAAATATTTTTATTTACTTTTAATTAGTCCTAACTCTAACCCTTTACTAATTTTAATAAATAAACCTAGCATTGTGAACTAAAGAGACTTCCAGGTTGTACTCATATTAGATCTTTTGAACATAAAAGTATTTGCTCTGTAATTTAAAAAAGTAAGCTATTAAAATCTAAATGCTAAAGGTCAAAAACAGGAAATAAGGGTAAGTCTGAGAGGGTGTTTGCCCCATTTCTAAAAGATGGAGTCATTGTTTTTAAATATTAATAAATTTTCATTTGTAGTTAGTCTGCTACATCACATTGTTTAGTTTTTATAATGGAGAAATTGTATTCTGAAAAAAATGAACATAAGTGTTTGAAAAACCATAATTTTTTTTGAATTTTATACATAAATAACATCTAGAACAGCATAATTATAAATATTTATAACTGTACATCCATATCAATACATGTACACATCTATGATTAATACATGAATATACATCTATTTACATACATAAATATACGAACACAGACATGAATATACATACATTCCTATGTATGTATATTGCAAGCTGGGGTGCTGAGGGTAGAAGGGGTGGGAGTGGAGAGGGACAGTTATCTCCGGGTGGCAGATATCTAAAAGGCGTAAAATAAAAAGAAAATATCTTAAAAAAAAAGCAAAGGTCATTCACTGATAAAATATAATAATTTAGAAAAATAGGGGCACCAATCAGGGTTGCTTTTTGTACGAATTATGTACGCCTAGAACAATTTCCATGAAGCGACATTTGATATTTTTAACTTTTAGATTGCTCTATTAAGCAGTAAGATAAAAGAATGATTTGAATGACAATTATGTTAGATGTAAGTGCTATTTACTAATAAAAAAAATTCAAATAAACTTAAAAACTACAAAAACTTAATCTATATTAAGCAAATTATTTACTTTTGATTGCATTACTTAAATTTCTATCAATAATAAATAATTTATACTTAATTTTTTTTTTTTGTATTGATCTATTTTTTCGTTTGAAGGACGCTAATACTTTAAGCTTGAAGCAAAGATCATTATAATGCAATTTAATTCTGATGAAAAATATATGATTTAATTCAAAATTAATTTAATAAAAATATATAATTTTATTCTGATAAAAAAAATATATAATTTAATTTCGATTTTAAAATCTTCAAATCAAATTTTGGAAACTTATTTTATAACGCAAATAGAGCGCAGCAATTGCTTTTTGATAAGTGATATATAAACAATATAATTTTAACAAATGGTGTATGGAAAAATAATCTTTGATTTCAAAACAAAATTGCTAATAAAATAATAAACTTTTAATAAATAAAGTAGATAAATTAACATAATTTTTTTATTTATTACTCGCTAATTTTTTAAAATAAAAAATACTTTTCAGTTGCAAACTTTTAAAAATGATTATTTTAAGAAATAATCATTTTAAAAAAATTTAACATATTTTAATTCATTTATACAAATGTCAAGAAAAACAATTTTTATATGAAATTTTTTTTTTAATGTAATATTAAATTTAATTATTTACACTGGTGGCCAAAAGTGTGTATCCACCCCAAAAAAAAACAAATTTTTAAACATTTTATCATAAAACTATATAAAACCATAAAAACTTATATTATTTTGCATATATTTTGAATTATATTATTATTATCCTTAAAAACCTTCAAAAATTAATAAAAAACCTTCAAAAATTAAAAAAATTGGTTTTGAATATTTAAAAAAAAAATTGTTGATAGATACACACTTTTGGCCACCAGTGTATATTTAGAGGCACATTAATATGTATATATATATATATATATATATATATATATATATATATATATATATATATATATATATATATATATATATATATATATATTTATATATATATATATATATATATATATATTTATATATATATATATATATATATATATATATATATATATATATATATATATATATATATATATATATATATATATATATATTTATATAAGCATTCATTCCTCATCACTGGTGAGGAATGATTGCTTGTTTTATCCTGCTGGAAAAAATGTACTTTTCCGAATCTTGATTTCCCTCCAATATGGCTAATTCGAATTTTCCTTAATGGTTTGGGGCGCTAAACCCCCCCCCCCCAAACCATGATGGATCCACTGGCAGATCGACACAAAAAAACTGCTTATCTTGCCTTAAATTGTGCCAATAGCATTGTAGTCCATCTGGACAATCCAAATAAATTTTTGCACAAAAAGATGACTTTGCCCTACTTGGAATTGTCCTAGGTTACATGCTATTTTGCCCACTTAAGATGGTTCTGCTTATGGGTCTGAGTGGGCATTGGTGAGGCCATATGCTTGCAGTACTTCAAATCTTCACAATTCTGGAGTCGGGGTCCAACTTCAAAATTTAAATCATGTTGAAGCTGACTGGAACTTTCTCCTTTCAAAGCTTGATGAATAAACAATCATTTCCTGTTAGAAGTCAAAACTGACAGCCTTGCCATTGACTTTTTTGTTCCATAACCTTCTGGATCTTTCAAAAAATCGGAAATAACTTTTCTTGGCCTCTTTATTTTCTTTAAAACCTTGGACATGCTCCACAATGCCTTTTTAATTGAGATGATTTGAGCTAACTAAATTTGGTCAAGCTGTTACCTTTTTCAATTGTAGTCTAAATTGAAAACTTGCCTAAGGAAGGAAGTAATAATTATTGTTTAATTAGTAAAGCATAAATATATCATAAAGAACTCTTGATTTAACTACCATTAGTACCTTTTCAAGTTACTGCTAAACCTAAAATTTTGTAGGGTGGGTTATCATTATTGCCAGCACTGTATACAAAATATGTAATAAATATAAATATTTTGTTTAAAGTGTTTTCATCTCAACCTCTACCTTTGTACCTGAATCTAATGTGGATATTCTTTAACACCATATAAAAGCTCTTCTCTCAGAATGCCCAGAGAGCCAAATAGCGCATTTCCACATTTTAGATCAAAAGTAACATAAAAACTTTGCAAATTTAACTTTTCTATAATTTGCTTCACATTGTAGTTAGGTTCAGGAACTTCAACAATACCCAAAAACAAATTTTAATTAGATTCAGGAATAACTTCAACAATATCCAGAAACTGTGATTATACACCACTTAAGAACTTATCTAAATCATTATTATCATGACAATTGAAGATACTGATAACCACTTAAAAAAATGACCCACCACTGCCCAATGAAATTTTAAGGCTGAAGTTAAGTCTAAACCATGTAATTTTAACAAGTCTAACATAAAATCTGATGTGTTTTTACCAAAACCTATCAGATTTTGCGCAAGACCAAAAATATTAGGCTCTATTGAAAGTTTACTTCCTAACCATTGCCTAGAGTAGCAATCATCTCTTTTTTTTTCTGTTTGACAAGTCTAGTACAAACTATTTGACAGATCTAGTACAAACTATTTGACAGGCCTAGTACAAATTGTAAATGTTTAAGGGAAAGCTACTGAATAAAAGTTCTTTTTTGCTTTATTTTCATATGTGCTTATTGTTACTTTAAGAGGATTTCCTCTGTAGACAAAAAAAAAAGGACATTCATCAACCAAATTTTCTGCAACCATTTTCCTTTTTTCACAGTGCTAAAGAATCTAAAAACAGCTATCCATACAATACTATCTGCAAGTAACAAAAGTTGTAGTAGAAGTTTCTAAAGCAGTATAAATAACTGTTAATATGTAAAATCTTGTTTTTTTACTTTTATAAAGTTTTTGTAGAGATTTTAATTTAGTTATTTTTACCACAGGTTGAGAGAGAAAATATTGTTTTCTCTGTGACTGGGATAGCTTAAAGCTTTTAACAAGATAAAAGTTGGCAAGCTCAATTATTATATTAAACCAAAAATCAATTGGACATAAATATAAGAATTGATAAAAAAATTTAGCAGACAAGATAATGATAAAAATAATAATAATATTATTTACTTATTCATAAATTAAAATCATAATTTGTTCATTTTATCATAACTAAAATTAAATTAAAGATAGATAAAATTTAAAGACGTAAAGCTTATAATTTAAAAAATCATTTCATTTCTAGTTAAAAAACTTAATTTAAACCTAAAATGTTAAAAGTAAACAAACTATCTATATAAAAATAACTGTAATAGCTTACATCAATAAACATGACCAAATGGAATCCCAAACCAAAAGCAATTATAAATAAAAACAAAACAGGAGAAATTTGAGTAAATGTCTTCAAAACATGTGTAAACATAACAACATATATTCCAAGTTTAGGAAATTTTCTCAAAAGTAAAACCAAACCCAGCCATGATAAAGTGACACTAGCTGCTCCAAGCTGACGCTGTTCATCTACATATCTATGACATTAAAAAAAAATGTTTTGCATTTTAAAATTAAAAGTTTATTGATTAAAAAAAAAAAAATTATTTATTAAACACATCGTAAGTCTGTGAAATAATTTTTTGGTTTTGAAGAAATACATTTATTTGTATATTTATAAATTTATTTTTACATTTATAAATATATTTTGATCAAAGATAAAAATCTAGAATAAAATAAAATATAAAAAAAAGAACATAAAAAGCAAAAATTATTTTTACTTTAACTTTTGGTTTTGCACCAAAAAAAGTTATTTTTGATACAAAACAAAACGCATTATTAACTTCTTAAGTACTGTTGAAAAACTTAAATTTGATCAAAATACATTTCCAAAAAAAAAAAAAAGTGACATAAAATGTAAAAAAATAAGTTACTGAATGCTTCCAAAAAATCCAAAAGCGTAAATCGATGAGCAAATATAAGCTGCTAACTCCACAACCCTGTGTATACGAATGTAATGGTAAGGATCTGTAAGAAGCTTGACTAACTAAAGAATAGATTTCCAAAATTAAAATCATTCAAAATTATTCTTTAATACAACATCATCTTAGAGACTTAGCTTAAAAAATACCTTGTTGCTTGTTTAAAAAAAAAAATAGTCAATGCTATAAACATAAAATTATTTTATTTCTTTTTAAAAATATGTTCTTTTAAAACTTGAAAATTTTTAAATTTAAAAATACTAAAAAAAGGTATTAAATTTCTAAAACAAAAATAACTTTAAAAATGTTTTTATAATTTTTAACTTCTTCCTTTTTACATTAGTTTTTAATTTTATTTTTTTAACTCTTATTAACTCTTAGAACTCTTTTGAGCTTCACTTTATTTATCTGCAAAATAAAAAATTTAAGCATACATCTTAATTATAATATGCCAACAAAGAGGAAAGAGTTTATTTTCAATAAGAAAAAAGTTGTTGCATCTTATAAAACTTTGACAATATAAACAATGTTACATAAGTGAAACATTAAAAATGTAAAACCATAATGCATTGCAAAGTTATTAGCATCTGCTTCTCTCTTTATTGTGCTTACCATTTCCTTAATTCAAATTTTAATGCATGTAATTAAAAAACAAACAGTTTAATTTAAAATCAATATATTTACTTTTAATATGATTTTAAACTTTATTATAAATTGTTTTCACAAAGTACACTTTGAGTTTATTCAAATAACTTCTTTTTTTATACTGTTAACATTGCATTAATGCCTCTACCACTTTCGCATACTTTCCATAAGAGACTAATTACAGACAATCTAAAAAGTTGAACATTCAACATTGCACAGTAAAAGTTGATTTTTTGAATTCTTATTTTATATTTTATTTTTATGACAAGCAGCCAGAAAATATTTTAAAAATTATGAACTACCTGCTAATATAACTGGAAAATAAAAATTTAAATCAAAGGTATTTGGTTATTCTTTAAGCCTTGTTCAGTAAATACTGATAATGTAAAACTGCTAGTAGAAGAATATAGCTTGTATTATATGCCTGAAGTATTTCATAAAATACTAACTAATGGTGCTGAAGACATTCCAAATATGAATATTCTTATTGAATAAATATTACAAGAGGCTCAGAAGGCTAGGAATAAGCCCTTTAAGACTCAGAAGATTGGGAATAA